CTTGACAAACAGCTCTAGGGGAGGAAATATGTGAAGCTGTGACAGAAGAATGAGAGAAAGACCCCCAAGGAGTACAAAAAAAAACCCAAAAACAACAAACAACCAACCACAAACCAAAACTCCAAGTCAGAACGAGAACAGCCAGCGCCTGTGAAAGTTACACTGCGGCAAGCCCTGAAGAGCCAAGCTGAGGCTGCCAGGACTCAGCTGGGGGTCTCCTGCCAGGAAATTACACTCTAGACTGAGCAACATCTGCATCTCTCAGGTGCCTTCAACAGGGAGTCACAACACCTAAAGAGCCCTGAAAAGACTAGAGACTGAGGAGCTCTCTTCTTTCTCCCTCCCTCCCCCCAGCATTGTTGTTCCGGGTCAACAGAGCCAAGGGCAACTGGCACAGAAGATGTTGCTCTCAAGGCAAGATGACAGCAGGAGGAGGAAATAGGATGCGAGAAGCAGAGATGATGTGCCCTTAGGCTAAGACAGGCATTGCAGGGGCCAACATGGCCCTTGAAGAGCTCCTGCTCAGACTCCACCTCTGCTACAGAAGGTGCTAGAAGTCCCTTAGCCCCAGCTTCCATGGAGTACCATCTGCAAGCTGGAAAAATTACTTGCTAAGAACAAGCAGAGGTGGGCATTCTGCATCAAGAAGTGGATATGAGATAGGAGAAAAAGGACTGAGAATGCATGGGGAGAGAGGCATCCTATCGTGGATGGTGTCAGGAATGGAAATGTCTTCCTGCTACTAGCAGACAATCTGCCTTCACACTGCTGGCTTTATACAGGCAGATGAGACAACTGCAAGCAGTTGCCAACCGAACATCATAGATACAGTAATTATTAAAAGCAGAGCAGTCTTGAGCGGGGTATTGGACCCCCATGGATCTGTGTAAGCACCAGCAGAAAGCAGTTGCTGCCTCCAGAACAGAAATGCAGTGTTTTCCCTGCTGTCAGCACCTGCGTCAGGCTCCTGGTTTCTCTTGAGATACAGCTCTTAATTGGGATAGATTGTACGTTTTCCACTGTAGCTCAGCCCAGCTCCCAGTTTAATTGCTAGTTTACGACTTTGCCTGTTTTGTGCTTTCCATGCTACTTCTTTCCCCACTTAATCTAATAGAATTATAGAAAGTATTGCTGGGAGGACCTCAGGAGGCCACACAGTTTATCCTTCTGCCCCAAGGCAGTATTTCATTTTCAACAACATCATGTGTCTTTTTCTATCAGGTCAGATCGGTCCAAGATGTATAGTGGGTAAAGAAACGAAGCTTACCCAGGGGAGTCAATTGGCATAAAAGACTAAATCAGCCCTTTCAGTCACTGAAGTTATATCAGAAATAACCCTCAACTGAATGGTGTCATTTATCAGATCAGTTTTCTTAAAGATGTCCTTTCTTAAATTTTAAGTCTCAAAAATGAACAAATCTCTAGAGTAAACTGTTCCGACAGCCCCACTTCAGTATATTTAATGCTTTATTATGAACAGCAGTGACCACTCCATTGTTAAGACTGAAAAGATCTTATCACAGTATGATCAGCTTTGAAACTCCTATTAACTCCCATAATAAAACCTGATCTTTCTGGAATTTTACATCCTGCATTTCACTCCACAGTAGAATGTGTCTGGCAAGACAAAACAAAACCATTAAAGCGTCTTTAATATGACAACTTTACACAAATGAATTTCCAGTAAAATTTCAGAATGTCAGTCAGCTTCTTAAGGTTTTTTTCTTCCAAGACAATTTGACTAAAAATTCCACTTTTGTTTTCTTTTGTCTAATAATCTCTCTAAGAAGAAATGTCTTGCAGCCTTGGGAATAGATAATGCAGAATTAGAAGGATAAAAAAAAAATCAGCTGGTGATGTATCAAGCAAAGTAAAGCAGGGCACAAGTATAACAGGGATTCTGTGCAGTAGAACCATGAGGACCAAAGGAAAGGTAAGAAGGAGGGACTCCAATGAGGAAAGAATGTTTTTGTCTAATCAAACAAGCAAGCAGGAAAAAGAAGGACTATGTATCTCTTAAAAACGGTTAAAGGTCTGTTTGTTTCCTCCCCCTTCTTTGGAAATTTCAGTTCTGGTTGAGCTGGGTCTCTTCTGGGTTGTAAACACCCATGCTGAGCACCTACAGCACTGCACAGCTGGACAAAGTAGGGGAGCTGTGAGAAGACAACAAGCTTCCTGGTCAGCCGATCATGCTTGCTGCCTTCCTCCAACTGTTCTCCACGGTGTCTGTAATTCAGAGTGATGCTAAGGCTATAAGCAGCAAACATGCATCCTCACCCTACAGATGTGACCGCAACAGTTACTGAACACAGTCAGAGAAACTTCATAATGGCTTCAGACTCTTACTCATCCTGCTTGTCCAGCTCACCTACTCGCTACCATAAACTCCTCCGCACAGACACAAAACTATTTTCCACAGCCTTCCTGTATCTGCCCTCCATGTTCTCTACTCACTCTTCACTACTAGCCTCTACAACCAAGGTCACAAATAAGCCAGGAAAATAGCAACAAGCATCACCTGCATCGTGCTGGTATTATATAGCACATTAGCCAGGAAGGACAACACATTATGCTTTTAAAACCCATTCGGAAGGACCGAGATTGTTATTGTCAAATATATCATTTTGAAGGGCATTAAATTGTGTCTACATTAGTGCTTGAAATAGTCCTGTAAAAAGCAAGTTGGGCAACATGCTTTAGACACAACCTCTTTTTTTAATTCTAGTCATGGCCTGTGGAAAGAGGGAAAGGGGCAGTGGGTGAATCCCTACTGCTAGCTAATTAGCTCATACATTTCCTCTCTCAGGCAATATATCTTTCCCTGCATGGGATGTATTTTTCTTCACTAACCTCTTGCAAGCAGCTTCCCTATAAATCACAAATCACCACTGCAAGCATTCCCTTAATGAGATCCTCCAGCTTTTGCATTCATTTAATAAAACAGCGTTCACCAATCTTCATCCTACCGGTGCACTTAGACTGTTTATTTGAAGTTATGGGAGGTCCTTCTGGTGCAGAGAGATTGAACTCCCTGGCTAAAGATTGCACAGGGATTCATTTTATCACCCATTCCCAAGGCGTTCCTCCCCCCTATATACCATGTCACAGGTGGCACACGCACCTGGTATACCATTTTCAATATGAAAAAATATGTCTTGTGGTGTAATCACATCATCAATAGAACCAGGGAGAAATGAGCTACCAGATCAAAACAAGCCTTCTTTAATTCTTTAACTAGATCAGCACAGAATCCAAAATAACTTTTGTTTTTAATAGTCAGAGGTACTAGCACCTGCAAGCAAGACTCTGCTCAGCCCATGTAAATCACAGGCACCGCTCAGGATTAACGAGACAACCCATGTAAAATAAAAATACCAGTAAACCTAATTCAATTTAAAAAAGAGTGAGTCTTCTAGTTACCCTAGGCCCATAAAGGAGACCTTCCTTCTTCGGAAGAAGCTTTTGCAGCTTTTGAGGTGGCTTCTAGCGAAAGAACCTTTTCATTCTTTTCTTGTGGGCTGAGCTCCTACTTAACCTCTTCAGCTGGTATTCATGCTCCCTAGCTAATTCCCAGCATCAACACACTGTTGCCAGTGAAATGAGCCCAGCTGCTTCTCCAGATTCTTGAAGTGCTTCATAAACTCAGCTACAACATCTGCAGCTGTATTTCTTATGTTCCATCCAATGTACTTTTCCTAGAACTGGGCATAAAAATGGTTATAAAATGCACGTATAAAAGTCTCAAAACACAGATTCCTGAAAAGCCTGCCTGAAAAATTACTCAGTGCTTACTCTCTACAACATTCAGCTTCCATTGCCCAAGGGAGGCTAACATAACCTGGGAGAAAAGAAACGTTACAGTTCTGAACTCCTCAGTGTTGGGCTCAGTTAGAGGGCAGTACCTTATCACAGATGCTTTCACACACTGCATTAGCAAATAGACTCTCACACATGCAACATCAGTACTCCACAGAAAAGAGCAGTTCAGTCCAGGCTTTTACCCTTTCTGATACAAAACTTCCAGCCAGACATGGCTGAGTCAGAGTAATGTAGCCAGGTTGTCTTTCATTTCCCAAGTCCTATTTCCACTAGCGACATCAGAATCGTGGTCTTCAATTCAAAATTCAGGGACAAGCAAGCAACAAAGAGGACACTGATTCTAGTCAGGGTTTGAGAACTGAACCTAATGAGAACACGGTATTGCCAAGTTCAGCTGACAAAAAGAAAAATGACACAAAATCACATTAGATGACAGAGACGTGAAAAAGAAAAAATAATTTAAGTTCGGGACTCGTCTTTAGAATAAAAGAGGTATTCTTGCATTCTGACCCCATTTTGCAGATAAGCAAATTCGAATGTGCCTGTAGGAAGTCCTGCTCGCTTCAAGAGGCGGCTTCTCCAGCAATCTTGTGACCTGGGACCAGCAGAGGGCACTGCGTTACCAAGTGATAGTGGTACAGATGCAAGACGGCTCCTACCAGGCAGTGAACATGAGCCACGCTGAAGAAAGAACCAGATTCTAGAAGTCAGAAACACATATGAGTCGTCAGCATACCGGCCCTATAACTGATAAGGGTTACACTGTTAAAACAGGCCTCAAACTCCAGGCACCCCTAGAAACAGACCCAAGTCCAGCTGGATCCTGACATCTTGGTCTCCATGTGTTGATTTTAGGGCATAGGCCTCCTACTCCCAACGCTTTTCAGGCAGCAGGGCCAAACCAATCCTGCTCTGCACCATATGTACCAAGGCTGAATTGCTTAGGTTGATAAACATCCTATCAGCTTCCTCTCTCCTTCTCCAAACCTCTACATCCTTGCTTATAGCAGCAGGAAGTCTGTTTAGACAAGAGACAAGACACTATCAAAGCAAAGAGCTGGCAATTTCCATTCTGCCCTCCCCTTTTACTCCCCGCCTCCTCCAACCTAGCAGACTTTCAGCGAGCAGAGAACCAAGTTAGAGGACATGAAAGGAATGCTGAAGTAGCAACTTCAGAAGAGTGTCTTTCCACTTGCTTATTTCTAGTTTATTTTGAATTACCAGAAGATGACCATGAAGCAGCAAATAGCTCATCTTTTTTCTTCTCTCTGTATTCCATCCTGCAGGACTCTGGGCACTAGAGGAAGCTCAGAGGATAAATACGTCATCCCAGTGACAGCCCTCAAGCTAGTGCATGAAAAGTTTCCACTTTCTCTTTGTACAGTTGGTGGTATGACTTTGCCAGGATGTGGAAAGGGGCGTCAAAATTTTTCATCTCCTTCTGTAAAGAAATAAGAAAGTTGTGAATGACAGATGCAATAAGCATTTCACTATTTCTGCTCTAACTGCTTCACAAAAGACACTAAAACTGAGGGTGAGTTAGGTGACAAACCAGTGGAAGACAGCCCCCAATTATCTTTCTTTACCTGAAAGAGAAGATAAATTTACGAACACCCACTTCCACAGATGGTGAAAAGAGCAGATACTCACCACTGACATCTCACAGTATTCCAGGCCGTGTTTCTCAGCCCACTCCTGTGCTTGTTTCTGCTCCACAACTCGACGACCAACCAGGTCTGTTTTATTCCCCACTAAGACACCTACATAAAAAAAAAAAAAAAAGAAAGAAACAAAGGAAAAACAACAACCCAGAAATGCTGACTTGTTAGCAATAAATGCTGGAACATTTGTAGAAGTAGCTGAAAAAGTTGGAGGCGTGGAGAACAGTCCACAACTACCTAAAAGAGGTTCCATAAAGGAAACCTATTCATGACTTATCTGCTTTGTGATAAAAGCAAATGAGTTGGAGGAAGCCATGCCTGCCTGCAGCTTAAAAGAAATGCCCTATGCCCCATCTCAAGAGGAATAACTGCTGTCATACAAGAGGGAAGCAGAGAACAAGAATCTCACCCATTTCTTACCTGGGATGTGCACTCCAACTGCTTGAGCCCTCAACTTCTCCAACCACTTGGCACAGTTGTTGAAAGATTGCTCATTAGTGACATCATAGACGAGGCACAGGACGTTGGGTTGCTCCCACTGCACAGCAAGAAAGGAACATTGTCAGCTCTAATGAAACTGATGTGGTCAACAGCCAGCCTGTAACCACGGCGAACACAGATGCCAAGACAAAAATAAAAAGCCTAACATACAGGAATCCTATGACCTGGCTGAGGTTTCACATTTTCAGCTGAGCTGACTAAATGGATAGCTGGCACTGGGAAAGGTGGTCTTGCTCTCTTTCCCCATTCCTGTCTGCACAGTCCTGCTCCTTTGCTTGTATTGGCTCTGGAATTCAACTGATCCCTGGGGAAGCTGATTCTTCATGCTGAATCAGCGCAAAATTAATCCTACAGAAAAAAAGTAGAAAGGTTTTCGTCCAGTTTGAGAAGCTGAGCCAGCTTCTGGAGGGGTCCCTTGCAAACCAGACCTAGCACAAGTGCAAAAGTGGAATTGCCTCTTGTAGAGCAATGAACCATTAGGCTGACTTAGTCACCTTATGAAACTTCACGTCAGTTAATTGATCCTACATCTCAAAAGGAGATAATACAACAGAGAACTGCACAGCTAAGGACACAAATGTGTGAAGGAAAAAAATCAAGGCAGTATTATGCTCAAGGACAGTAACAAGTCCTGTTGGATCAAACACATCACTGTAACACAAAAAAACCCCAGCAACAAAAGTAGCAGCAAAATAGATGTTTTCCAAAGAAATAAAAATAACTTTAACCAACAGTACACAGCGATTCTCGGTTAACATCCTTATTTTCTTTGTAAGAAAACTGAATGACTATCTGCCTTCTTTCCTCTGGAAAGTATTTCTTCTAGTACTTTCACAAGTTTTAGAGAGCTAGAACAGGATGCATTGGCAACTGAGGTAATTGCTCCCATTTACACTAAACACAAAGTTTGCTACATCTGCCAGACTGAGGAGTTCAGATCTTCAAAGTAAAAGCACTTCTTTGGAAGAAGAGGACTGTTACATAAGACTTACCAGTTTCTCCAGCATTTCAGAAAATAGATCTTTTCCTGCAGAGTCAAAAATGAAGAATTCCTGAAAGCGGAAGCAGAAAGGCTCTTGCTAGGCAAAATGCAGTGTAGTGAAAGTTTTTCAAAGTAAATACTGGAGCCTGTAACTCCTGCATTTTGTTCAGCATAGCAGTGTCATGTCCCTAAGGGACAAGTTCCCTGCACTAAGAATACTCCAGTTCAGATAGTACGAGAAAAGAAATGGTTATTGTTCATGTTATAATCAATAAAACGGTTACCTCTGAGGCCCCAGGCCCGTTTTCTATCCCTGCTGCAAAGAGAATATGTGGAGTGGGACAGTAACCTGCACTATTTATACAGAATTATACATGTGGTCCACATTCCGCTAGTGGGAGTATAGGGCATTAAGGAAAAATAACAGATAAGTTCCAGCTTTTATAGTTCTAGGAAACATCAACTAAACCTCAGTGTCCTAAAGGACAGAAAAGAATCCTAACAAAGCTGTCAGCAGCTTTGGTTTACAATGTCATGTTGGACACACGTATGTAAAACTTGCATTTTTAAGATTAAACTAACCCTGGAGTATCAGCAATTGTACATGATTAGCCTAATTTCCTTAATGCAACTTAATGGCCTTATGAACATGCTGAGCAACCTTCCACCAGAATGAGACTCAAGTTTGAGCTCTGGATGTCTCTTTCTGACCCAATTTATGTCACAGAAAAACTCACCACACTATCACTTGTCTCTGGAACTGATACAGCCTTCACCAACAGTTCTATGCCCGTTGTCTGTCAAGAAGAATCAGGAAAACAAGGGTCAGAAGAGTTTTTAAGAGCCTGTCCGACTGCATACCAACTATGCATTGGATTGAGGCAATTCTTGTGAATCATTACAATCCCATCAAACATAGACTGCTGGGAACTCCTCATAGCTCGGGTAACATACTCCCACCTACATGTCAAAGCCACGTAGATTTGCTCTGATGGGGAAAAAAGACATCGAGAAGAACGAACATTTTTGTTTATATACAACTAAAGGTATTAGCTGAAATCTGCAGGGCTACATTCACTGTCACATTGCTGCTCCAAAGCATGCCTTAGAACGTTTTGCACCAACCATGTGATCAGCTAACATATGGGACTGAGGTTATTTGTGCCTCTTCCACCTTTCATCTCATTCTGCTTTGTAGCTTGTTTGCTTGTTCTATTTCTATCCTTAACTTCTGGTTTCCATCTTTATTTCAATGAATAAACATATTTTAGGGTTTTTTTTTCTCCACACTCATATTTTCCCTTTTTCACTTTACTTATATTTACTTTTATTTTTATCCCACTTCTGATTAGTCATCACCATTGATTCTCACACTGAAAGACTGCAAACTGTATCCTCTTCATCTGGGAACAGTTTCTGTAGATTATAATTATCTTGGGGCTATGCAGCACATCTTCATGTTTGCATAGTGATAAGCGCACTGTCCACACGCATATTTAATAGTTGGAATTAAAAGCCTTCTCCTTCAGCAATGCTTTTTCAAAGAGCACTATCTAAAGGGGGAAGCTCTCAAACACCACAAAAGCTTGTGAAAACATTGGTTCCGCAGGAAAATTATAAAATTAACTAAATTACTCTGCATTAAGCTTGAAAACCAGCACCCACACAATGTAAAGACTTACAGAATATTAAATGGCCTCTCTTCAGAATCTAGGCTGTAAGAGAAAGAAAACCCTATAAGGCCCCTCCTTGAATGCCTCAACTTAAAATTATTATTTATTTTGTTCTAGATCTTCTTAGTTTTCTCACGCAACTTGGAAAAATGTTGGATAGCAGTTTGAGCCTGCTGTATGCTTACCAGTGTGTAGTTCTTCTGAAAATGAGCCCCATCATTGCGGAACATCTGGGCTAAAGCACTCTTCCCCACAGCTGGATCCCCTGCAAAACCAAAAACATAAAAGATATTAATTTCATCTTAAAGAACCTTATTTTCCCTCAGTTCTGTTACTATCACATGCCATAAGAGCTTGGATGCTATAACTCGGAATACAGGCCAGATAACTGTCATAAGAAGCACAAAACAATCTAAAAGGTAATACCCACATGAGGAAATTAATATTGCCATTATGAATACTGATGCTGACATCAGATTTCTGCTCTGTGAACGACAGTAAAGAGCCCCCAGATCAGGATGGAACTGCTGTTTGTTTCAATTCATGTCTACCCAAGAATTAAAATTTCCCAGATATGTTATCATGTAGAGAAAAACACAATGTGATAAGGAACACTGGGCTGCACAGGAGACCATTTCCTCTCCTTAGATTACCCATTTCCCCAGATTCAAATCCCTGTTATATACTGAGTTCAGGGAAGAGACGGTCATTTATACACAACCAAGCTGCTTAAGCTGGTAACATTCCTCGATGAACTCTTCTTGCTGACCCTGCTAAGAGAGCAACTCTTGCTGACTCAATGCTGCTGATGCCTCATCAGTTGCATCCTGGGCATAACACAAGCAAATGCCACTTGGCTGGAGAGAAAGAGCCTGCTGATTCATCTCTGTATGGAAGGAAAACCAAGGGGCTTTCAGTTTTGCTCTTCTAGAGCCCAGGCTTTCTGGTTTTGCTTGCACAACACTTCAGGCAAAGCTAGCAGCTGCCTGCGTTGGCCTGCTGTTACAGAACTCCATAAGATCCGAAGCAATGGCAGAGAACTGCAGAATTCACATATGCCCACATCACTCCATGCAAAATAGCATAGTCCTTGCAAAACGAAGACTTAATGTTCCCAAGGGGCTTAACCTCTCTTCAAGTACTGTCTCCCTACCCTGGATAGTTCAAAGGATAGGAACCAGGAATTAAACAGCTCAGCAGTTCTAGCTTTACCCTTGATGAAACACTCGTGACAGCCAAGCCTGGAATAAGTCTTTTATGTTATGTTTTTAATGAATAAACCTGGAAAGGGGTATATTTTTACCCTATTACAGCTTCCTAGATGGCATTTTGAGGGAAATTGGGAAAGCTACCTGCTCACATAATATTACAGAGGAGGAAGGGTGTTTTGGATAGTGACAATTGCTCTTAGATGCATTAACCAAACGTAGTTCTTGTTTAAACATTTTTAGCATGCTTGCTTACTTCGAGATGAGTTGAGCTCATAATATTTAGACAGGAAAATCTGGTAAGTCAGCTTGTTTGTTCCCTGATCAGTTCGAGCTTGTGCTGAAGACAACACTCTGTTCTGAATAGAAGCCATTCTGTATTTCAATAGACAATTAGATCTGTCTTTGCAAAATGAGATAGAGAAGCACACATTGCTCCAAACTGCGCAGGCATCATCCGGTGCAAATTTTTAACTAATGTGTTGCCTTTCTTCAGTTTGACAGCCTCAGTTGTTCTTTTTCGCTTCTTATTCTTTGCCATCCTGTTAGCCCATTACATCACTACACTTTCTCAAAATAAGTTTCCTTGTCCTTTTCATTTAGCTCGGTCTCATCTGCCAGTACTGCATCCCACAGTATTTATTCCATGCCTACTTCTGTTATTCTGCCAGAATCTGTAGTGTATCTCTAAAACACCTGCTACTGCCAACTGTCTTTCTACAATGAAAACCTTTTCGTAGTGTCTCCATAGTAAGCTCAAACAACAGTATCTTTTACCATGTGTCTGTAAATTACCCTTGAGAGAACCCAGGAATCACTTTCTGTTGTGAAGTTAATAGTCTTTCTTTTGCTAATAAAAGCCTTTTCCCCCTGTTGTTCTCTTTGACCTTGGTGCAGCTTCCAGTACTGTGAGCCACTCTATTCTTCATAACCATTTTCTTCGGTACACAAGAGTCCCCTGTTTCATCTCTGATGTTTTTGCTCCTACCTATGTAATTGCATTTTCTTGTTCCCTTTAGGTTGTTGTGGTTACTTATCTGTTATGTTTCTTTCGCTATATTGGTCTCTTCTGCAAGAGAGGTTATTTTGCCTGGTCTGCTTCATTAATTTATTATTTTTAACAATACACAGATATTATTGTAGCACTTAGGAGCACTACATATGGGACAGGACCTTCCTGTTGCTTGTGTTGTGAACAGAATTGAAAAGGCAGCTCCAGACCCAATTAGGATTAAGCACCTAACTGGGTCATCCAAAGAAAGCCCATGTGAATTTAAAATAGTTGTGCAATTGGCCTTTGGTAACACTAACCAACAAAACCTGAAAGACTTAAGAAAAGGGTACATAATAGAACGTGGAAACTTCCACATTTGAAACTTACACAACATTTCCAATCTAGAAGACATGCAAGATACTCATGCTGTCCACAGTAACTATCAACAGAGGCACGGGGGAGATGAATTCTTTTGCATTTGCCAAAGATCACACCTGGCTTTGTGCAAGTTGATGGTTAGCTTCTTCTGAGGTTCCAAAAAAATGCAAACATTTTATTCTGGACGAAAGAAAACAGGTTTGGAGCAAAGAGTTAAACGTGGGAGCTGTCTGCACACTACAGTTTTACAGATTTGTGCTTGTGGCTGAGGCTACACAGAGCTTCAATGTAGAGGGAGGGAAGAAAAGAGAAAAAGCTTTCTTCCCGCAGCGTCAACAGTCAGCTGTACTTACTTTCAACACCTCCATAATCCATCCTGACTAAATAAACCAGTGTCTTCATCTCCCCTTTTTTTTTTCAGGTTAACCTCCAGTTTTCCTAGGGGAAAAAGACGCCTCTGCGAAGCGCACGTGCTTCGTCCTCGTCGCTCGGGCTCTTCCTTTCCGTCACACTCCCAGCATCATCATGTTGGGTTTTTTTTTTTTTTCCATTTTTCCAGATCCTGCCGTTGCTGGTCCCACTGCGCTCCACACCCTCCCCGAGCGCAGCTCTTGATGCTCCGCACGTCGCAGGAGGGAGGGCACAGAGCAG